ACCCTCATAGTCAACACATAACTAAAAAGGAAAAGTCTTATACATAGCAAGAGATCATAAGCAACGTCCCCAGAATGGAGGACTCACCAATAACCTCGATAGAAAATCGTATTAGCCACGCGGAGGAGGATGGTCAAGCGATGCTCCGGTCCCTACATGGTGACATCATGTAGGCATAGAGTATGCATTAGTACGTTTGAATGTACTAAGTATATGGGATGCAATGCAATGCAACAATAGATGGACATCATAGGCAAAATGCATAATCATACCCGATAGATAGCATATTAATGAGATGATATGTATAATGATGCTTACATAAAAATCATATTAGTGGGGCGTAGTACATGTGTGGCGAGTAACCATCAATATAGTATTTCCAAGGCCTACCACCCCCTTGGAAGGGCGAAAGAGGTACAAACCCCTCAATGTGGTTACCCGGGCCTACCACCCCCCGAGCTAGGGACCAAGGTACAAACCCCTCGATATGGTTATACGGGCCTACTACCCCCCGTACTAGGCAACCAAGGTACCAACCCCTCGATACGGTTACCCGGGCCTACAACCCCCCGAGCTAGGCTTGGTCGACTCACAACACTTTTATAGAGAAAATCATATACATGTGTCCATTTCATCATCATTTCAGTAATTATATAACCATCCGACTCATAGGACATACATTGGACCTTCCATTTCCTAAGAATTCTATAAATGGGCATTTTATCAAACACATGGTGTGCTACTGTTCATGTAAATAAAATCATGTATTTCAAGAATACTAAGTCCAACCAATTCCAAAATCCATATAAATCAGCCCACCAACAACATACATATATCAACCTTCATAATTTGATCGTAGAAGCATGAAAACCATAAACATCACATAATAATTCCATTTCATGATAATATGCAAAATAGACCATAATAGGGTGTGTAGTAGTAATTCCATACTTCAAGAGTTCATAAATAACCATAAGGACCCATAAACTTGAAGTAGAAATAGATGATAAATGGTTGGACTTGTGAAAAGGAAGGTTTCCACAATCAAACCCACATATCTCAACTTTGGAGAATCCTTAATGAAGATTGAAATGGAGAATTGAAGCTTGAGATTGAGTCTTGAATCCGGAATTAGAGCTTGAGATGTTTGAATTTGGTTAAGGATCTTGGTGGAATTTTGGAGAGGGCTTAGAGAGTGTTTTTGAAGTTAAAAATGACTAAGTATGGGACATATCCCCTTTTTATAAAAAACGTCCCCAACACTTAGCCTCAAAAAAAAAAATAGCTCACTGGAAATTGCAAATCTGCACAGACAAGTTTTACGAAAATGGTCATAACTCCCTCATCCTAACTCGGAATGAGGTGAAACCAAGTGCGTTGGAAAGCTAACTCAAAGAGCTTTAATTTAATAGGTTGTGGTCCTTCCAGTTCCTTGTATGCTAAGAGATATGCCCCTTTAAAGTTGACCCTCCAAATCACATTTTTTGCGATTTTCGAATTTTGATACGGTTGCTATAAAATTCGGGTTAGACCCATTTCCCACTCAATTTGACCCCATGAATAAGAATATGAAGTCGAATTCCTGAAATCATGCACAGATTTTGAGATATATGGAAATTACAATTATAGATGTTTCCGAAACACATTTTCGAGTTTTTTTTTTTTTTTTGGGTCGTTTTAGCAGTGGTAAGTGGTAAGCACGCGAGCAACTCTGATTTGTTTGGATGGGGTTTTGAATCCACTGTCAACTATTCAAATTTTTTAATTCAATTTTTCCGGATATTTTTATTTTCGATTAAAAAATGTGCTTTGTGCCTATCTTTTACCTTCCTTTAATTCATTATTTCCTATATAGATTTTTCTATTTTTTTTTTTCAAACAATAAAACAGAAAACTGATAATTAAAAATAATAAAAAAGTAGTGTCATACCCCAAAACAACATTTGACTATTAATTTCAAAATGGATAATTGTAAGTAGGTGTGTACATGGGAGGGTTGGTTCGGGTTTTTCAAATATCAAACCAAGCCATTTGTGTCGGATTTTTAAATCTATAAACCAAACCAAACCAATAAAACTCGGGTTTTTCAACCTCGGGTTTTTTTCGGATTTTTCGGGTTTCGGGTTTTCTGCTAAAGTTTCATACAAACATATAATTTACTTGTACTTCAAATATTTCTCCAGTCCTACCAAAATACAACTATTTAAGGTCTTTCTTAAGAATACAACACAAACAATGATATGATTGATGCACTAAAATATCCAAAAAAAATTAATAATAATGAAATCGCGTAAAACAAATATTGCAAATTAACAAGTCATAATGAAAATGATCATAATTTAAAAGTACTAAATCATGCTAAAATAAGTTTAATAAATATTAGTTACATGACTAAATATTAAAGGAAATTAAAATTAGATTTTGTACTTTAATTGTCTAAACCAATGTAAAATCAAAGAACAAATATTCAATATTATTGTCATTCTTAGTGTTAAATTGATTTTTTTTTTGCATTAGTATTAATTTGATTTTGATTTAAGTTTTATTATAATTATCAACATCTATGGACTATAATCTTTATGGAACTATTCAAAATTCTAAGTTTCAAACTTGAAATAATATATTAAAAGATAAAAACTATAAAAAAGTAAAAGAAATATTTAAAAATTATATCAAAGTAAATAATTTTATGTATAAAATAAAATTTTAAAATTATATATATAATGTCGGGTTGGTTTGGTCTCGGGTTGGTTTTTTTTAGTTAAAACCAAACCAACCCAAATATAGTCGGATTTTTTTTTCAACACCAAACCAAGTCAAACCAACCACTAGTCGGGTTTTTTTTTTCGATTTGACTCGGTTTGCGATTTGGTTCGGTTTGCGGTTCGGTTTTGTACACCCCTAATTGTAATTAACAAAAATATAGTGTTATACTCTAAACAACATCTCACTATTGATTTCTTTTGAAGCATTCAATAAAATGTTAAATACAAAATTTAATTTTTAGAAGTTTAGGTTCTAATTTTTACTACCGACTTCATTGCTTCTGCTTGTTGTCAAAGTGCAGACCTCTGCCCCGGTAAGTACTATTTACTCCTCAGTTCCTTCTCAGCTCTCCCTTTTCTCTTTTTTATTATTTGTCTTTACATTATATAACAATTTATTCAAAGATATTTTTAATCTTTGATTTTAGGACTGTTCTACGTATTAATAATTTATTATATTAATTAAGTTATTGTTTGCTTCTCGGAACTTCAACTTTCAAGGTAAGAGTGGCTCAATGGTGAAGCAAGTAAAACCTTCCCTTTAGGTCCAAAATTATTAATGATGAATTTAATAATTTTAATTGTACTTAAAATATATTTGAGATTATAGAAAAAAATGTTCAAAATTTATACTAAAATATAACACTTATCTACCTTTAATCAAATAATATTTTAGAACTTTGAAATAAATAGCTCAAATCTTCATATTAATAAATGAAATATTTGAAAGTGTACCAAATGATGCATCATTTCTGTTTTCAAAACATAAAAATTTGTCGAGTGCAATTGTAATGATATGCTTATATGTTTGTGGTTATATATATATGTTTGTAATTTAATGATTGTTATATTAGACTAATATGTTGTTCTATTTTAAAATTTAGAACCCACAAACATTAAATTCTGGCTCCGGCTTCTGCTTGTAGCAGGTAAAGTGCATGCATACCCGAGAGGCCTAGACGTCTCTAATTAACTTGTGTATGTTTTCTTTTACGTCTCTACTTTGGAATACCCGAGACGTCTCTAATTAACTTGTTTATATTTTTAATCTTAATAAAGGCTAACTTTAAACATTGTATACAAAGTTTTATCTTGAGATAAAAATGAATGAATTTCAGTCATATGTAAAAATGAAATAAACTTGAGGCGCAACGCAAGCCAGATTACCAAGAAACGAAATAACTTTAAACATTGTATACAAAGTTTTATCTTCAGATTTATTTCTTTAGTTTTAGTCAGCACAGTTCATGGTTATGAATACAGCAAGAGGTCAAGGAACAGTCATGGATCAGGTAAGTATAATTCATCTTCTGCATGAAGCTCATCTATCTTACTCAAGTTAGACATAACTTATCTAGGGAAAAATAGAAGCAATGATCGATGCTCTAACTTTTATATACTTTATTTGAGCTTATATTGCATCGGTGATTTGTTTTGAGTAACTAAATGTTTTATTTACCAGTTAAAATGGACCCTTCTACTCTAGGTTGAAAAGTGGCTTAGTGAGCTCTGCGAAGAACTTAGTGAACAGAATAAAGCGCATTGCACATACTCTTACTCTGCATGCTCACATGACTATTCAGTCTGATGATGAATAATTCTTGTGGTTAGACAGGTGATACATATCTGGCTTCCTATGATGCTCAAACTCACCAAAAATATTGTTGATGTCAGATCCTTCAAAAATACACTGTGAAATCTAACACCAAAGTGACGACATTTTGAAGAGTCTGAACAACATAGATGGATTTTGTACATCCACTCAACATATATAGAATCTACATGCAAATCAGCTTTCATACAAGAATACTCATCTTTCATTTCACCTTAGTATTCTCCGCTGTTAAATTTCTAAATTATTGAATGATGACTGGGAGGTGTTCATGTATGAATTTTGCATTTAAGGTGTAAGATGAAGGGATTATAGAAATTCATGGGGGGAAATCACAATTAACGAAAACAAAAACAAAAACAAAATGATGATTTGACAGTGATACAGAAGGCAACAAGAAATCATAGTGAAAGACCAACTGGTATATATTTGGTCTCCAATTATCTAAAACATACATTAAAGAGTTGATCAATCAAAACAAACTTAGAGGATGCATGGATTTTTCGGCTAGCAGCAGAATAGACTGTCTGTACTTTTGCTGCAGTTGTCAAATTCAAACAAATCTTCTTGGTTCACAGCCACCTTATAATCGCTCCCCCGAAATTCTGTATTAAACATATATATTATTTGCACATTAGAGGCACATACTCAAAAACAGAATGTAGGAGTTTTACTCTACTTACTTTGATAGTGATGAGGTCTATACGGTCGTTTCCTTCATTCTCTTCGACATTTTCCTTAATTTTCACAACTGAAGCCTTCAGAGATTCATTCTTGTAGTAAATCAACTTAATCTGTTTCAATGTTGGAATATCTGCAAAGCTAAGGGGAATCTCCTCAAGATTGTCACACCGTTTTACAACTAGTGTTTCAAGCAGGGGAAAGGATTCCTCCGAGGTATCCCATCTTGAGATATTTAAGTTCACTAGTTTCAAGAACTTAAGTTTATGGAACGTGATATCTCTAAGGAACCACTCTAAGGAACGCGGTTCATTTTCTGTAAAATCCACATCTTCTAATTTGAGATACTCCAGTCTTGGTAGTCCGACAATGAAGGAAATCACGCTTTCTATACCAGTCCCTAATAGTATCAACTTCTTTATATTTGAAGGCAACTGTAACCCAGATACAATTATGGTCCACGGAAAGAAAAGGCGAAGTACTTGAAGCTGCATAAGATTCTCCAATTTGGGACAAAAAGGCTCTCCAGAATCAACAATGCCCCAAAAGCCAATGTGAAGTTGGTGAAGATTAGGACACCTCTTTAATAACACATTCACCCTATCAATTTCCTTAGTTGGAAATCGAACATTCCTTAATATCCTCAAATTTTCCAATTTAGAGGATCCTTCAAACATCCCCTGCTCATCAAACTTTGCATTATAAATCTCAACATGCCTTAATTTTTCCATTTCCCAAAAAGACGTTGGTAACAGTACTATATGTATCCAATCATTCTTCACAATTAAAGTTTCAAGATGGAGGAGATGTGATTCTGGATGAAAATAGAATTCATCTGCCAAAACTGCGAGGTACTTCAGGTGATATAGTGGTTTGAATGTAGCTGACGACAAACGATCCACACTATGAGAACTCAAATCCAAGACCTTAAGAAGTCGCAATTGACTAATCTGACAAAAGGGAATTCCATCATTAGATTTTCCTCTATTGGTCGTTATCAGTGACCTCAAGTGTTGGTGGAAATGCTTCTGTGTTTTGGAATGCTCTTCACTACAACTGAAGCTCACCCGACTTCCCTTCCTATCCAAAGGTTGAAACTGGCCCTTCACTGTCAGCATAAACTTTTCCTCTCTACTCTTCACCAAGCAAAAGTGAAACACTACATCATGAACGTGACAATATTTGACCTTACCATTATGTTCTCTCTTTGAAACCATTACCACATTACTGCTAATGAGATCCATCAAGTAATCTTCAGCAGATTTAATGTTCTCCACAAGGTCTTCCGCTATCCATAAACTTATCAATTTAGAAACTGGAATTATTGCATCCTCCGAAAACATCCCCATATAGAGAAGACAAGGCCTTAAACAATCGGGTAAGTTATCAAAACTCAACTGCATAGTCGCTTGACTATATTCTTCCGACTCACGATCAAGATAGTCAAATAAAGCATCTTTCACCTCATTCCACCAAGATTCTTCCATTTTCCTTTTTTTGATTATTCCAGCTACCAAGACAACCACTAGAGGCAGTCCTTTGCATGTTTCTGCAACTGCTTGACTCGTATCTTCAAGTCCAGGCGGGCAATCTTCCTGCTGAAATACTTTTCTCTGCAACAATTGGCAACTCTCTTTTGTTGTGAGGAATGGAAGAGAGTAAGGATCAATATGGTGCATCACATGCTTACCCACTTTCTCAAGTCGAGTTGTTACTACTATTCTGCTTCTATTTCCAACGTCTGGAAAAGAAAGCCTTAAGCCATCCCATGCCATACAATCCCACATATCATCCAAGACAATGAGATATCTCTTTCCCATTAAGTTTTTCCTCAACATGTCGGCAAGAATATCATCCCTATCTCCGTTGTCTTTGGTACCTGTAACTTGACTAAAAATATCTTGTAATAGCTCTTTTTGGTTATATTTTTGGGAAACAATGCACCATGCTCGAACATCAAACCGAGAAACGATGATGCCATTATTATACAACTTTCTAGCACATGTTGTTTTGCCTTGCCCCCCCATACCAACAATAGGTATGACATCTAGCTCACTTGTACCTCGAGTCAGATACTGAATTAGTCTTTCAACTGCTAACTCAAAACCCACTATCTCCTCATCACTCACTTGATTGCTATGTCGAGTTTGCAGATGTTTAGATGGCTCTACCGCATAGCAAGGCTTAAGGGCAATGTCCACCGACCACATCTCAGTCACCTCCACAATAATTTTCTTGATCTCTATGATTGTAGGAAGTGAGCAAAACATATGCCAAAAGACATCATACTGAGCAAGAATAGAGTCAATGGAAACCTCAGCTTCATATGCCAAATTGATAGGACGTCTCTGAAGATCTTTAAACATTCTATGTTCATCTTTGAAAATGTATGACAACTCCTTCTCTGAAATGGATGTAAGAGTTGATAGCTCTTTCTCTAAATTACCTAAAAGAGGTTTCATCAGGAAATCTAAACCAAATTTAGATTTCGACATCTCATTCAATTTCCTTAAAAGAGAATCCAGAAAGCTCAATCCACCAAAGGTGGGGAACTGAGATGGAGTAAATTTTAAGGATTTGTAGTAAGTCTCCACTTGTGCCTTCAGATCTTTCGTTTTCTCCAATATTTGTAACGAGAAAAGACTTATTTTGCTAGCGCCATCTTTGTTTATAGAGCTAGGAAGAAGTTTTTGAATTGCATATAGAACATCACCTGCTATAGCTCCAACCTTTTCCATAACCTCATTTAACCAGCTACCGTTTATAACATGATTTGACATATCAGCATCAAGGAAAACCAACAAGAACTCTATTGCCACATCAATATTTTGAGCAGAGATATTATTAGGAAAGTTCTCGAGCTTTTTGTTTCTGAGATACATCAGCAGACTGTGGAGCTGATGTGAAAATCCTTTTGGTAATTTCTTGTCCTTGAAAGTTTTTGATCGAGTAAACTTTGAAGCCTTTAGTTCACCAAGAAAAATCTTCTTCATTTCCATCTCCACAAGCACAATCAACGATAATAGATAAGGAGGTTTATTCAAGATATCATCTTTTTCCCTAACTCCCATCGCAGCAACGTAAACTAAAACAGCAAGACAATATTGTCCCACATTGTCGGCCATGAACTCAATTCGAGTCTCCAAACATTCCAGCTTCTCATGGTTGACAAAACCATTTATCTCAGTGGCATACAAGTATCTCAAAAATCTCATTTTCTTTTGAACAATTTTCAGTTGCATTATAATGCTCTTTATTTTAAGGCGAGTACTACCCTTTTCCAGGCACATCATTAGTACATCATTTAGATTCTTTTCGAGGCAATCCATATATTTCAACAGATCAAAATCATTCAACTCATAATTGTAACTTAAACAGGTAGTACCTTCAAAAATTTTTAACAAATGTGATTCTAGCCTTTCCAGATTAAGGTTAGTTTTACGTTCCTTTGGAATTCTACTAAGTGCCCACTGAAGCATGTTCACAGTCCATTTGGCGTTCTCTATGAGTTTGTCTAAAGGATCCGGCAAAAGAACATGATGATACTTTACAAAGGTTCTAAAAACTCTTAGCACCATTTCAAGTATCTCAATTTTACCAATCTTGACTCTACTCAGATTACCCTCACTCTTGATCCTTCTCAGGTGATCTAACATTTCCTCAATTTCATTTTGAGCCATTTTCTGTTGAAAAATTCCTGCGAGTTCACCAACTATTGCAATTAGTTTCATTAAGAGCAACATTTTTATTCGTCTTTCTATATCTATTTACCCTTTTTTCATATGATCATTCAATTAATAGTTATTATCTTAAAAATACACTTTTCTTCATCAACAAAAAAAATGACTTTTTGAGATAATAATTATTAATTAAGTGGACCATTTGAAAAATCAATTCTCTATAGGAAAATAGTAATTCACAAAGAAGATGAGTTATCATTAAAAAGTTGGTAGAGTTTAATAATGGTTCGCAATGAAAGTTTTGACTGATAGAACAAGTACAATAAAAAAAATACTCCCTCCGTTTCAAAAAGAGTGATCTGATTTGACTTGGCACGGAGTTTAAGAAATTAAAGAAGACTTTTGAATCTTGTGGTCCTAAATTAAAGTTAAGTCAAATGTACAAAATTGTCCTTAATCTTGTGGTCTTAGACATGCCACGTGGAAAGCTAAAAGTAAAATATTACCAAAAAAGGAAAAAAAGTCATTCTTTTTTAAACTGACTAAAAAAGAAAGAATATCATTTTTTGTGAAACGGAGGGAGTAATAGTTTACAAATATAAAACAGAAAAAGAAGATAATAAGAAATAAAAGTTTACAAATATAAAAGACAAAAAGAAGATATATCATGTGAAGGGGAAAGCACAAGTGGAAAAGGAGAATTAAAGCTTAAAGAGAATTAGGTCGAGCTTTTGACGGATTGGGTCCTAAATAAATTTAAATATTGATTTTATTTTTAATTTTTTTTCTAAAATATTAAAGTTGTCACATCATTAAATAGGTACAAAAAATTTATATTTCTAGCAAAAATAATCATGGGAGCTAACTTGGCAAAATTGAGTGACTTTTGGAAGACAAAATAAAGTTGAGTGACTACGATAATCAATTACCAAATTTAAGTGACTTTCAAGCTTCTTACTCAAATAAATTGTATGCAAAAATTTGTCTACATGTTGTATTTTTAGATCGAATTTGTACATTTTTGGTAAAAAAAAGACTCTAGCTACCTTTTGAAAATTAAACCAAAAAATGTGGCTAAAGCATGTAAATATCATCTTAATTCTGTATCTATAGGGAAAAAAAGGTGAACTTTACTTTTTTTTTTTTTTTAAATAGGCAAATGGAACCCATGAGGCAACTTGTCAAGCAATAATTAGATTAGAATATAGAAAAACCCATTTAAATAATTCTGTAAAGATATGGCAATGAGCCAAACTTAACCTCTAAAGAGGTAGCTCACAAGAAAAGGATTGTTTAAGTACATATAATTAAGTAATAAATCCCTTGTCCATTTCTCCAATTCATGTGGGAGTGGGACTCTAACTCACTTTAACACTCCCGTTTATGTCTAGACCCTATCAGAGCATGAACCAGGAGTGCAAACGAGAATGGACTTGACTATGATACCTAGTAAAAATTTGACATTAGGTCTAACTCAACCTCAAAAGCTAAAAATTTTATATACCAATACGAGTATATTGTACTAGCTAGTGTCTTGTATAATTTATTTCTCCTTTTTCATTCCTTCTTTCGTTTTACTTGGTGGAACGGAAAAGAATTTGTAAGCTTTATCCTTCATCGAATTTTTCAGGTGTTAGATGAAGGGATTGTAGAAATTAAGTGATGATATTTATAAATTATAAAGGGCATCACAGTTGACCATCTGAAACATACTAAAACAAGCTTGCCAAAATTCTTCTACTAGTCAAGCTAAGACACTTAAATTAGGAAGGCCGGGGGAGTATATATAGATTCAGAGGATAAATATTTCTTTGAAGTATGAAAATAAATTATTAATCAATGGAACTCACCTCAATCTTTACTTATCGAATCTTGTGTTATTCCTTAGTAGCTTTGTAATCGATTGATCAATTGTTAACTGATTGGTCGTTGTTCCAATCATATATGGCACAAGGTGTTGTCTAGTACAGAGAGATGGGTGAGGCATCAAAATTCTAGTTGGCAATGGCACAAACAGACTGCAATGTGTATTGTATGAGTTCTCTATTATTGCATTATTAATCTATTAATTAATGGTAAGTGAACAACAATTAGTGCTTTTATTAATAAATGATAGTGCTTCATTCCTATTGATTGCTTTAGTAAAAGCAACATCAACTTTATCCTTGTTTTTGAGAATAATGTCTTATTTCATGATATATTAAAAAATGATTCACTGTGCAATCATTTTCAATAAACAAAAAGGAAATTGATATCAAATGTGTGACGCTAATGATGGAACGCCGACCAATGAGGACATGTCAAAGAACAAGATTGGCAAGCATTTACTTACAAGCATCTTAGTCGAATCACACATAGAAATAGCCCTGATAGGAATGACAAGTAAAAAGAAATGGTTACAATATATAACACAAGTTCACTACACTTTTGAGCTCGACGCATAACCCAAAAACATGGCTCTAACAAGATGGTCATTATAATTATTCTACCCACCAACTTAACATATAGAAATGGGAAAATGAAGCATCAACTTAAAATGACTTTCCTCAACTTAAATTAATATACTTAGATTTTAAGTTCACAATACTTGCTTTAATTAATACTAGTGTACTTGATTGCGATTCGCACAGTTATTAAAATAAACTCAACATATATTAATTTCATATATTTTATTGAAGAAAAATAATCTATTTTATCAATTAAACATTTGTTTAAAAATGTATCTGGCTTATAATTCTTTTAGTATCTTATATATGAAGTTCTTTAATTTGACAAAGAATATGTGAGTAACCTTCCAAGCTAAATAAAGAAGTATCAATTTAACTTATAGTATATATGAATTTGAATAAGAAAAAAAATAACAAAAAATTAAAAATATATTATATAATGACGTAAATTCTTCCTCTAAGTTAAGGTAAGAGTTTTAGAACATGAAAAGCCTTAAAAATAAAGTTGTTTCAGCTTTCATTTTCTTAAATATCTCAAGTTTAACTTTTAATTGAATAATTTATTTAGACATTTATTGACATATTAAAGTGACATATACAAAATAATAATGAGGAATATAAATACAAAAAGGGAAATTGGATTGAATTGAATGAGGAGCAGAAAAGAAGAGGACAGTGTAAAATTTATCATAGTCTTGTTTTTGGGGTATACATCTTATTTTTGGAGAAATGATTAATGAAAAATACTGAAATAAAGAACAATAAAACTATTTTTATATATTTGTGAATCATTCAAACTTCTATTTTTTCAAATTAATTTGGCCATATGTCTTGATGAATCTTCCATCATCATAACTTTGTCTTCTTCATCTTGATGAACCCATATCAAACTAATTTAATAATCTCATTGATGAATATTACACCGCATCTAATTTTCTAGTTCTTCATCTTGATAAATTTATATTTGACTAGCTACCATATTGTCATATCACCTTCGCTATATCGTCTTTTTTAATTACTAAATATATGAGCGATAAAAAACAATGAAAGAAAATATAAAAAAAAAATAAGAGAAAACAAAAATGAACATTTAACAACTCTATAGAATATAATTGTTATTTATAGGCTCTTGAATTCATCCGCATTTGCTCAGTCATGTAGCTAGAAATCATTAACTTCATGAAAAAATTATAAATTTAGTAGATATAGAGACAAAATTTTCGCACCTATACTTTATAAAAATTGATTCTATAAATTGATTAAATTAACAACTTAAATACTTTTCAATTAGCTTTAATTTCATGTCTTTAATTTCACAAAACTAACCATATTAGAAAATAAAGTGAATACAACCAAAATTTAAGATATATATTGTTTGTCAAAGATATAATGTCACGACCCAAACCGTTGTGATTGACACCCACTTTAACCCTCCGATAGGAGAACCACTACTATAACCCAAACTAAACAACTTAACCAAAAAACTAAGGCATTTAAAGTTATGGAAGCAGGTTTAAATGCTAAGGAAAAGAAATAGAGCTCCCATAAACTCCAAAAGTCTAACTAAACAAATGCAGAAATAGCACCTAGAACCTGAAAGTCAATGTACCAAAACATCTAAAGTTCAACAAGTTTAAACAAGAAGGGGTACAACCCCAAACTAACACACGAATAACTAACTAGAAAGTCTAAGTTCGAAAATGTGGACTTAAACGAAAGAGAACTCATGGCAGCCCGGAAGAACTGCACACCCTTGAATTCAAATGATCACTGATCTTCTAAGTGAGGTCTGTCAATAGCCGCCGGAAGATGCCTTGTACTTATCAAAGAAAGAGCAAGTGCAGTATCATCAGTACACAACCACGGTGTACTGGTAAGATCACACGGTTATCCCACTAAGTGCAACATACATAAGCCATTACAACATAATAATAGCATGCATACACCGAACATATACAATATCAACATCACTTACGAACAACAGAACATTTCACAATTTTCAAGATATACAATTATGTCAAGTCAATGGTCCTCTCATGGAACCCAAACCCAAACTGTTAGTGTACCGGTTCGTGGTACCCGATCCAATGTTTATGCCGGAACGTGGCAACCAATCCCATGTTTATGCCGGAACGTGGCAATCGATCCCAGTTAGTATGTCGAAATGCAACACCCGATCTATTCAACAAGCCACAATCACAAGTATTTTCTCATAATCATACAATCAAGTCATGATTTCATGGCAAACAATTATTCAATCATCCTTATTTATAAATAGTGTGATCAATAATGCAACATTCGCATACATACACGTATTATAATGAAGCAAGAAGAAACATACATCACACAACATGAAATCACAACCATCACCTACCTCGAAACAAGCTTGAATCCCCTAAGAAACTTGATTCTTCCCTTTCCGAATTCGTTCGGCTTGTTCTTGGTCTACAAACAATTATAATAGCGCGAAGATCAATAAAAAACACCTAATTACCCAGATTATAAACAATAACATCAATATTAGGTCAAACCCTTGATCCACATACCCAGATT